CTTTTCAAGTGGTATGTCTACTTCTCGATCCTTCACTGCAGAGCGATTGCGAATAGTACGGAAGGTAAACAAAGAGGAACCCGATTAATATAATTAAAATACACTAGGCGAGACTTCTTCCAGTCTGGCTACGACTGTAGGCGAACAGTGCTTCACCCCTTAGGATATACTGCTTGGCATATAATAGTGTGGGATGCAAAACCGCTGGCGTTTTTAAGCAGTAAACTGCTGGTGTTGTTGTGACAGTTCATAATCGAATGGCTACGATTATAATGCGTTGATCTTTTGCAATTAAAATGTAAACTGTGTAAGAAAATGTTTTGAGTTTTACGCCGGGTACTTCCACGGGACACGACTGGCCCTTTCTGGCTCGTAACGAAATACGTCTATGTTTAATTTAAAATGTTTACGTCTTCTTAAGCTTAGTGATTTAACTGAGTCTGATAATTAAAAAAAGATGGATCGATCTTTCAGCCGGTGTTCAGAATAGCTTTTTACGCCACGTAGCTTTCAGCTCATCGCAGAGGTCCAGACATGGTCTACTGATAAAAATACGAATAAAAATTTAATAAAATGTTAACAAAAATAATTAACTTGTCCCTATGTATATGCATATGTTACCACTCCGGTCAAGGAATTCGACCACTAATCCTCCAGCGGCGCGTATGTTCTATTACGACCGTGACGCTATTAATTAAGTTTTATTAATTAAAAAAAGGTGGCGAAGCAGTTTCAATAATGTCTCGACAAAAAGCTTTGATTTATTTTAGTATTGATTACATAATTATAACGAATTTTGACCTCGAGTTAGTCGCGTGATACCCGTATTTTATCAGACTATGGTACACACAACAAGTCATTGCAGTCGCGCAAACAAATGTGTTCCCTGCTACTAGGACAGAAATCGTTAGCTATATTAAATCCCATTCGTCGTATTTAGGGCAGATCCTACGTGAGATTTCTGTTGTAAAGGATTATTGAATTGGACCTTTTACCTAAAAAGAACAGTTGAAATGGGCAGAAGAACTGCCATCTTGTCTGTTACACCTTTTCATATATGATTATAGGTGGCCCGATAGACACTCGCACATATAAATATAGTCTAGTATGTTTTCAGTCGCCTGGAAGACTATAGAAGTTTGGCAGCGTATTAAGGTTTTGTTAATTATTGCGTTTAAGCATCCTGGAATATTAACAAACGACCCGCTTCGAAGGTCGATTAGTCTTATCACATAAATAGCTCAAGGGCATCTTAGGACAATATTGTTAACTTTTGAGAAACTAACGTGATCAATAATCGCTTTAGTTATGTGAGATAAACTGCTTTTGAAATCCGGATATGTGAGGGAGCGATGGGCCTATTTTGATGAACTCAGTCCGATATGCTTAACACCATCAAGCGACATACTTAATAAAAAACCTTTGTGGGTTTGTTATGGATTGCGCCACTTCTAGCTATTATTCGGCACCGATGGTATTTGTGAATCCAACATATAGAAGTAGCTTGGCATCCATGCCATTCATATTTTCTATACAATCTTTGACTTGATTATTTAGTACTATAATGTTTTGACACCTTTTATATATTTTAATTACTAATATAATATATAATAACTAATATAATAATAAGTGTTTACTTACTTAAAAGTTACAGCTTAGTTAACTGACATTGCTAAAAGAGAACCATCTGTCAAGATCAGACTCTCATCGCAAAAATTGCCCCGCAATGGAATTGTAACAATCAAACTGTATGATTCCGATTGTTTTAACGTTTCCAGTCATTATTTCCTTTCGTATACACGTTTTTAATGGATTTTTCTTTGCATGAATTTGCGCTAATGTATATATACACAGTTATCTTCCTGATCCTCGACGTCTTACACATCGTCTGTCTCAGTCTCATCATCTGAAACCTCTATTTCGCTTTTTTATTCAACGTCTGTTTCAATGAAATTGGAATCCTGTTCCTCTATTAAATAGTAATACCAAACACCACCTTCAGTGCAATTGATGTCCTTGAGGTCCTCTTATTTTTCAAATCGTCCGCTTGTTTCCAAGTATTTCCAGTCCTGTAAAGAATATACACATCAATTTTCAGACCTATGATATAATAGCGCGATTGCAACAAAGCGACAATTATTAGGACTCCCAACCAGCAACACTACTGAATGATGAGTGCCTGTAACATTTCAAAATAACGCATTAATGAGCAATACTTTACAAAGTCGTGTGCCGTCCTGAGTGTACTCAGCACTGGACGTCATGAATTATGTTGTTGTAAGAAAAAAAAAACTGCCGTTTATTAAAAAAGCGCGTTCTCCTCGTACAAATAGAGGCGGAAAGGGTGCTATGCGACATTTACGGAGATTAGTGATACGTGACGGTCATTCCGTGCTTTAAAAGATGTAAACCTTAATGTAGGATAGAATACTTTCTCTGGATGTCGAGAGTCACAAAAAAATTCCTAGAAATTTGTTATCCTTTTTTCCTCACAGCCAAAACACACACGTGTTTTTTTGTCTTTCACTTCCTGATTTCCCTTTTTCATATATTTGTATTGTTTTTATTAACCGGCTTGACTCGTTGCTGAGATAGAAAATAGAAACAAAGAAAATGTGAAAAAAAGAACGACAAGGTTAAAAATTTCATTCATTTTTTGCTCACACCTCAAAAATATAGAATTAATTATATCATCTTTGTTATAAAACCAAACAGTGATTGAGCACCTTTGTACGCAGTAGGTTTTTACTGTGCATGCAATGGCACGGGACAGTGTATCATCCGCCTCTTTAAATTTTAGTTTTCTTTGCAAGTCTCACAGTCATGCAGAAAAAAAGCATGAAAAGAACGTGCATTTAACCTGCTCGGAAATTCGTTCAGTAATTTGTAACGGCAAACTTCGTTGTATTGTGCATACCAGAGAGACAGAGACCTTGTAAGCTGTTTCCTTATATGTCGACAAAGCTTACACAAGCCAAGAAGAGTAATCAGAAGATTTGCCTTGCTCTAGGCGTTCAACTATTCATCTGGAGTTATAAGCTGCTATGGCGGATTTTTTTCATCGGATTCATCTTTCTGTTTTATCTTGAGTTATCAAGCATATAAAATAATAGAATCATATGCATTCAGCAGTAAACATGACGCACTTGCACAGAAAATGTTTTCTACAACCGAGTATATATCTAATATTTATTTGATGCTTGTTTTGTACGTTTGCATCCTGCAGCTGGTAGCAACTTCCCTTTCGTTAGCCCTTCGTTACAGCGTAGATTCATAGATCAATTATAGGGAGTTTCCGAAGAATTGCTCTAGGTGTCATTACTCAACTTCTCATCTGGATCATCATAATAATCGCACAGTCTCGTTAATACAACCGAGTATCATCTACCTGTGCCTGTTAATAATAACGCCAACCTTTTTCCATTATGTGCGTCATGCTTCTACGGCTATATAAAATCTAATTAGTTGCGTCTATAATATTAAGTAAATTTAAATTAGGTCAAGATCGTTGAGTCTCTCTGAAAATTCGTCACATGATCTAACAATGTTCGTTGCTGTAGAAGTTAATTCGAATTTTACAGTCTTCGAATTAACATGCAGTTACTTGAACGTCAATTAAATTCAACAGGATAATGACGTAATAAAGAACGCTGGGGATTTTTTTCTACAACTCTTCTTAGATCCTGTGCGAGTTGAAAAAAGCACGCAGGCTATAGTACCGTAATCATGTAAGAGTAACGCAGTACATCCACAATTCCCGTTCGAGCTTGTGTTATAAATAGCTGATCAGAAGGCTAGGCCCTCTGCACTGAACGAGGTGGAATACGCTAAAAAAATGGAACAGTGCCCAACCGGTCAGTTAGATAAATCAAATCTAACAAGTATTGTATTTCATTCTACAAACAAAATTGGATCGACAGCTAGTTAGAACGGAATTAAAGTACTAATAATGTTCGTTTATTTGTTCGAGCACACTCGTCTTGTAGTACATTGTCAAGGCTAGATTACACCGACTTCGGAGACATGCACATAAATTTCTAAGATTATTTGGAGAAAGTGACCGTTCTTGTGAGGATACACAGCAATTTTTAGATTAAAGGCAGTTATACAACAAACTATACTGCCTAGTTGTATGAGGCACAACATGCGATGTCGGCCGTGAGATCACGCCATATGCCGTACGCAGATAAAGCCTATCGCCTACTTACAACTAGGTTCGTATAGGGTCGTCTTCCACGAGGCCAAAAATATACTTGTTCAACAATTTTTGTTCGAGCTCTTGTTTACGATGCACCTATGCTTAACGTACTAGTTATTCTATGTTTATGAAAAGAACGCACGTCCAGGATCCACAGTCATACGCGCAGTGCACGGGCTTTGCACGTAAATAAAGGAATTGGCTCTTTTAAAAAATAAGAAATAGGCCTTTTGTTAGATTCTACTTAATCTCTACTTAAGGACATCCTCAGAAAAGTTAGGAAGTGGCTCGAAGAGAAGATTTGCGATGCTTGCTTTTTGCCTTGAAGACAGTCTTTGGCTACTCAATGCGAGAATACAGCGATAGCTATTTAGACGTTTTCTGTGATATTGATGCATTTGCTTGTATAAGGAAGGCACTTATTTAACTATATTGGGCCACGTTGACACATTAAAAAACAATGAATACGTTAAGTGAAATTTGTTTTGAAAACATTTGAAATAATCAATACATTAGTTAGATTTTCCGTTGACAAGAATTAGTACGAAAATCTTACTCACCACTTCATGGCGCTGCATGTCCGATGAAAAGGTCACTGTACGCTTTTACGAAAATTAATAGATCACTTTTCAACTCAGATGCCCTATAAGTCAATTCGTTAGTGGGCATTCCGTTGTAACACTTTATCAAGGTATTTCATCTGTATAGAGGTCACTAGTTATCATTTTAAATTTTGCCGCGCGTCGAAGCTCCGCCCCGGCCGTTGGTTGCACTCAGTTGGCAACTGGCAGTTAGGTTTTGAGTGGCGGGAGTCGTTAGTTTGAAGTCAGAGTGTATACTACGAGCGTAAGCGGTTAAAGCGATTAAGAAAATTTTCATCATAGGATTGTCAACCTTTTCGCTAACAAAATCTACAGGTTTTTGACAAATATGGCGCTCCAGCAAAGATGCCAGTTGAACATCAATCAAGAAAACCAGCAAGTTTTGAATACGAAGGTACGTTATTGGTTCAGTCGTTCATTGTGGTGCACTTTGTAGTTTCACGTGATCATAACTCATAATTAACGTATTTGTGCATTTGTAAGCTCAAATAGAGTTTTGCTTTAACACTGCACTTTCTCAAGTATGTGAAGATTATAATGGAACGTGCTGCGATGGTCCTGAAATTTCGTAACTGTTGTACTAATGTTTCAACTTAAATCGTCAATATAAAATGCGCTTGTCTCTACGGAAAAACAGAACATTGCCGGGTTACATACCGGCATATTTTTTCCACGTGCTTGTGTAAAACTTTGAGAGAAGAACATCATACCAAGCATACTGATAACTCTTAACATGTTAGTACTTAAGCACACGAAAAGTTCACTATAAAGACCTTACCAAAAAATTACCTTTGAAGTCATATAATCGCTTCTACGTGGACATCGTTCCAGAACTGGCAGTTGTGTGAGAAGTTTTCTATGATGTGGTCAAAAAAGACGGATAGACGTGCTATGCATAGTGCGTGATTGTATCATTGTAGTTTCTACTGAATATCTCAGGGGTGTATAACTAGCTGAGAGGTTGCATCGGAGGCGTCGAGCTAGCCGAACTGGCGCCAGATTTGAGCCGAGTTTGAATTAATTTTTAGAGCGAACTGACCTGTGGCTATTAGTGCACTCACATGGTGTATAAGTTAATTCGCAACAAAGCTCGTTTAAAAGTTACCTATACGCAGGTGACTAACAGCCGTTTCAATCCACGCCCATTTCTACACGGTTTGCAACTGAACTATTTACTCCCTTGTCTCTATGCTACCCTTGTTCATTAAAAATTGCTACTGGCTTACGAATAAGCTAACAAAATTACATATAGCAAATCGAAAGACTGGGTACTTACAGAATTCATTCTACGAACATACAAGCTCAAATTTCACAGAATCGAAAAGAGGTCACATGCGGTTTTCTTGGCTCCCTAATAAGTCTTTTTAGCGACTGCATATTGCCAGCGGGTTATTGCGTTTTTTATACACTTGAGAACAATGGACCCTTACTATGGGCATCATAAGAGCATGTTATTCCGTAAATTGTTTCAGCAGAATGTTACGAAGAAGGTGTCAGCTCGGCCTCGCCTAGCGCTGAGCGCCCGTGACATAAATGTCTCAGTACGCTGCACAGGCACAAAGGTTAAATCACAACTTCAAGTTCCGCCGCTAAAGGAATTTCGTAAAGAGGTGCCGCCGTCCGACACAGAACCATTGCCTATTAGCGCTCTCCCAATAAAGCCGGCTCCACTACCAGCTGATATTGTTGATATTGATCTCGAAGACGCAGATTATCTGGAATTTTGCGCCGACTACGTTAAGGACATCTATGAGCACCTGTTCCGCGTAGAAACCCAATACACCGTCAAGCCTCAGTAAGCCACTTATATTTATTGTCGAGATTATCATCATTGGATAATCGTCTGTCATCTATTCCTTTATATATTATTTATACACTCCGTAAAGCGAGGTTGTAGGAATTAAACTTATCAGGCATACATGAACTTTATAAGCTAAAACGAACATCGTCCAACAATTCTTAATAAGCCCTTATTTCGGTTCACTTAAGATTCTTGCTTCGGTGTTTTATTTTACTGCGGATCATGGTCGAAGGTCGACTAATCCTGAAAATTTTTGGAAGATTTCTAATGAGCAAGTTACATCGCTAATTACGGGAACTGCATTTGTCGACCACGTATCTTTTAGATATCTTTCAAAACACCCCACATTGCGGCCGCACATGCGTATGATTCTCGTGGAGTGGCTTGTATCACTTCAGCAGCGTTTCGGTCTACTGCAGGAGACCCTTCTTATGGGCGTGTCTGTTTTAGACAGGTTCATGTCTAACACGAGCTACGAAGTCAGTCGTAACAAATTCCAGTTGGTTGGTAGGTAGAGTCGACGTTATTTTTACTTTCCCTTCTGTCCTATCTAAGTGAAACCATAGCTCAGAATTTGCTTATAGGTAGTTCGGTATTGCTGTGCCACCTCGCTTTCGCATATTTTATCATTTCATGTATTGACACTCATTCCATAAGTACAACAGTCGTTTAGTGTCGTGTAAAACAGCCTTTAGACATATTGAAACAAACAATCGAAATACTATTTCAGAAAATAGCCGCACTTTAAATAGAATACCGTTGGGAGCCACTATACCATCTTGTTTTTCTTTTAGTTAGAATAGCGGTTCTTCAAATAACAATTTCTCACAATTATTGTCCCTAAGGTTATCATTTGTGTTTCGTTCACATATGCAGGCGTTAGCTGCTTGCTCGTAGCATGCAAATGCGAGGAGATGTATCTCCCGTCTACTGCCGATTTCGCTTACATGTGTGATGGTGCCTATACTATTCAAGATATTCTTCGGATGGAACTTATGGTCCTGGAAACCCTTGGGTTCGAGTTTGCTAAGCCGCTGACTGCGCATTTTTTGCGTCGTTTCTCGAAGGCCGGTAAAGCCGATTCTACGACCCACACCTATGCTAAATACCTGCTCGAATTAGCACTGTATGAATATTCACTGGTACACTACAAGCCGTCAGCTATTGCAGCTGCCGCCTTATCGGTAGCTGGTGCCGTAACCGGGGTGGTTGAGTGGGACGCGACTATGTTGGTATACAGCCGCTACCAAATCTCCGACCTTGAATTCGCCGCTGGCAAACTCGCCGAGCTGGCGGCTACCGCCGAGTCTAGCATATACACTAAATCGACGTATAAAAAGTATGCCTCGGATAGGTTCCAACAAGTATCTAGAAGCCTTGGTCAAAGTTCAGTCGTGATAGATTTGGCTCGCAAATCACAGATCAACGGCCAGTGAGAAGATCACGGGAGCGGTCGTTGATAATAAAGTATAGAAGTACATCATACAGTACGGGCTCCACGCTACGCATACGTCGTCGAGCTATTCGACATATGTTTACATGTATAACCCAAATTCAACTATATATATCGTTCTCCGAATTCGACCTATTGTGACTAAGTATGATAGATCAATTGTGCTAGTGCTAGAAATGACTAGCAAACTGTTAAAAACCACAAACTGCTTGTTAATTGACGACAGGATCTCAGCGAACGACACCAAATAGTTATCATATCATTATATGACTTCGACGCCATTTTCTGTAAATATACCCAGCTGAATGGATCTTAAAGGACGTGTATGTAGATAAATGTATATAACCTCGTAAGATGACTGTCTCTTGCTCTCAAAAATAATTGAGTGGAGTCGGATTATACCTGTATTGCTGAAACGATTGCCAGCAATGAGGTAAACGAAACATAATATTTCTTTAACTGGTACAGTCGGTATGCTTAGTCTAGGAAACGTGACTAAACTACCTTTTATGCGATCTTCCGGCTATACCCGCTTGTTAAGCTCGTGCAGTAATTGTAGTATTGAAATAAACAAATTCATTGTGCATGTGTAATTTTTCACTTGGCCCTTCGCCTAGAGAATATCATAATTTATGGCTCTGAAGCTTTTTATATGAAAAAATTTGGATAGGTTTCAGTATACTCAAGTTCTAATTACCATATCTGTCTAACTCGACGATTCAAGTGTTCAATCTAAGCAGAAGAGAATTGTGCTTGTTTTGCGTAATTAATAGTCAGAACAATTTATGACAAAAAAAAGCAGACGCTCGACGTTCATGAATGCAGATTTAAGAAGACATCATTATCAGCTACAACAGATCCTCTGCCTGATCCACTGGACTTAGCTGACTAAGTATAGAAGTTTTTTTTTTTACTTCTTCGACCCAGCTTATCTAAACATCGAAAGGCGGTGCCATGTGCCCATATTATTTCTAAGTTGATCTATGAACACTAACTCGCAAAAATCACATCTTTCGGTGTTCACTGAGTTTTTAATGTTATTTGTTATTAAATTGTTAATAGCACGTGGTCAATGAATTACCATCAGCTTTGCAATATCCCTTTCATCCTTAAAGTTATGCATCGATCATATAATGTAATGACAATTTTCGCTTAGTACACCACATTGAACAACGAAACAACTACTGAATGGCTCTTTGTGTTTTATTTTTGAGCACTGTGTTGCTTACCGCAGCGGATAGTTCGTCCGTCAAATTCGACGCAGGATTGCCCAGCTGGGTGGGTTATCTAGTTATATGTACCACGCATACATTTTATGTCAGCACAAGGCTTCACTTCGTTTCCGGGCCTGGTATCGTTCGCTACTTGACGCTACGATGAATGTCAATCTTTCTATTGCATTAACCACCACCCGATAGAATTCTGCGGTTTTAGTTAAGGCCCATTTTCTGTAATAATGTTTGCTTCGGCCCCATAGTCCTGAGCAGATTAATTCAGTCTAAATAGGAAAAGTCAATCTCCGCAGAGTACGATCAACGTAAGTCACCGTTTACTTATTTTGTAAAATTTAACACTTGTTTATTGTATATCCTATCTAGAAACACCAGTACGTTTTATTCATTCGTATGGTTAAAAAAAAGTTAATTAAACTTGGGTCTTATAAAACAAAGCAAAATCATAGCCAATTTTCTTTATTAAAAAACAAAATTTTAGTTATTTCATATGTTCTAGTTATCACCTCACGTTATATATAACAACTAACGGTTCTATTGACAAACAGTTGTTTATGTAGCACTGCGTAGAATTTCTTGTTGCCACGTGTACGCGCATGCACAGCAAGAACTATAATTTATGCGGCGAAATCGATTAGGGTTTACATAGAGAATACGGTTTTTTTTATTAATGGAACCTACAATGTTTTCGATTTAGCTTTTTCTTAGCTTTCCGAGTAGAAAAAATTGTTATCAGTAGTTTATTTCACTTGTTGTAGCAACAGCTCTAACATGTGTCGTCTTTTTTTTTTTTGTTGAAATAGAAGCCTTAGCCTTATGAACGAACTGTTCCAGTTTTTTTTTATACAATATTCTATGCCACAATTGATTCAAATAAATTCAGTCACAAGGATAGCAAGTAAGATTGAAAAGTTCAAAAACTGTTTTTTTCACTATTGTTCATTTTAGAGACTTAAATACGTTTTCTACCAAAGAGCTTCAATCCACCATCAATCCAAGACAACTTGTATGTTCGACATAATAGTAACCGCATAAAATGGAAAGCAATTAAATGACGTGCCGCCTTTGGGAAACTATTCACACGTTTGACATGAACATTTTTTTCGTACATATACAATAGTAATATAGCACAATAGTAAAATAGTAAAATAATAACTAAGTATAAACAATAATTTTAAGAAATTCTTAGTAAATACTCATCGTTTTAGAAGAATGATTATCAATATAAAAAACATGTCAGTGATAATACAACAGTCAGCATAATGTGTGCAAGCACTTCATGACGCAGGCATGTCTACCAGAGTTACTATCTATCAATTAACATAGTTATTGATTACTCGACATTATGATTCGTGTATTTAATATAAGTGTAAATTTTCTTTTCATGATTCGCTTGGCAAATGTTTTATTTTATGGAATCTATAGCCGATTAACAGAAGAAGGCTTCTTTTTTTCGTTTAACTTTCCAATTTATCTCTGAAAAAAAATTTTAATCTTTCGAGTAAGAATTATAATGAAAATATTGTTCTAAGTTGACAGGTCATGTGATATAGAAATTTATATAGAAATATAGATTTGCTGTGGAGAAAAGCAGAATAACACATGCATTTTTAAATAGGCGACATCAAACATTGAAAACTAAATACTTTGAATAGAAAAACGTATATCCCAGATCAGTTTACCGTTAAAGCCAAGCTTGCGTGAGTATATTATTAGATCTTTGTGCACAAGGTCCGACAACGTAGTATTCCACTATACATTCTGTATACATTGATACCTAGAGCTGTAATAATCAATATAATCTGGCTTTTGACTGTTGTTTTACTCATGTTACTCAAAAAGCTCTTCGAGCTATAATTAATTTAGCGACAAAAATACAAACAGAAAGCCACTAAGGACATAAAATGATCCACAAACTAGCTAATAGTTTAAGTAATATATTGAAGAAATATTTCAGCAGATTTATTCACGATTCCCGAAACAGCACCGACACAAGCAAAGCCATTTCATGTTGTTGCAATAAGTAGGTAGCTCCCGCGGTGGAACAGAGCCAGATTGCTATCAAGCGTCGATTTCAAATTCGGCGCGCTGGCTAAGCTCCGCCTCCGCGCCGCTGGCAACCATAGGGTCGCTATTTAAAGTTTGATCTCCACCGGTAGGAGACGTTACTTTGCTGAGGAGGTGTTGCGAGATTGTAACGGAGTTAGAAATTGTTCTGACTACTGAAGTGTGTTGGTGAGGTTTAGTGGAGCTCGGTTGTGGCTTAGGCAACAACTCGGTGACAGAATGGCACTCCAGCAGAGATCGCAGTTAGATGCTAACCGGGAAAATCAGCAAGTTGCCAACGTAAAGGTGCGGCGTCTTTTTCAAAATGAACGCGAATAACTATGGATTGAATGGTGTAAAAGCATAAAGCATTTTTTTTTATGTAACCGTTACAATTAGTATAGTGTATGTACTCGATTGTTTAACGATTTACAACGAAATAGCTACTAATTTCTTTCTAAAGAGACGTTTTTTCTATGACGCCGTGGCGATTTCGCATCGAAAGCCATTGAAGTGAACTTTCATCTGAAAGTTCGGTAAAACGATCAACCAGTAGTGAGCACAGATGATTCAGCTGGTTTTTATATTCACTTATACAACTCAACGGTCAGTTGGACTCACTCTGATAGTCTGACATTTAACACTGACAGTCAAAATGAGTTGGTTGAGTCTGAGAATAGATAATAGTTTTGTTATGAAATAATTATTTCATCTGCTGTTTTTATCTACTTGCTGTTAATTAAGCAGGTTAAATATAGCAGTCGTGGGCGTCGTATCGAAAGCTTCATAAATTATGAACTCAGCAAAATTCCGACGAACATGCGTCTTCAATAGAACGCAAAAGTAGTTGTTCGCGGTTCGTTTTGTCCTGTTTTTTTATACGGCTTAGGTTGAAAGGAAACGAAGATGGGAGCTGCGCGCCACTTTGGTTTTGTAGTCTTCAGGGAGTGAGTGAGCATACAGTGCGCTCGGCATCTGTGTGATGCAGTCAACGTTCGTACATAGATAGTTACACATTGTTATTGATTTCAATAATTTAGTCGACGATTTTCATATTGAACCGAGAAACAACGAAGCTGAAGTATGCGAAAACGGTATGAGTAAGATATAGGAAAATACGAAAATTGTTATATGATGTGCGCCTTCCGACGTAATGCAATTTTTTCGAAATGAAAACCGTTTACATACGGTTGAACTGCCTCCCTCGTGTATTGAAAATGAAGCTACGACCCGATGATAATAGGAATAGGTTGAAGAACCCCACTTCTGGGGGAAGTTCGATAGCCTCAGGGATTCCTCGTGTCGTGTATGTGCACATGTGATAAAACATCAGCAATATATTTGTAATTAACGTTCAGTCAGATGCTTGCTTTAGTTAATATTTAGCTTAGCGTAGTACGATTATTACAACGGAAGCGAGTGGTTTCGAGGGCGTAGAAAGGGGCACAGAACGAATGAAACTCATCAATTTAATTTGACTATTGGCGATTCTCAAATTCAGAAGGTAAAGCAAATCTATTGTTTTTTTCTTAACAGAATCTCGCGCAGAAAAATGCAGAAGTAGCCGTATCACGCGCTGCTCTGAGCGCGCGCAATGCAAACGTTGCAACACAGAATGTCGGAGTTAAGGATAAAATAGAAAATACCATAGCGCCTCAAAGGCCTGCTAGGCACAGGGTTCAACAAAAACTACGGCTGCCGCCCCTGCCTCGAGGATGTCTTCCCCTAGACCCAGCACCTCTGCCGCCGGACGTGCTAGATATCGACGAGGATGACGTCGAACACCTAGAATTCAGCTCCGAATACGTCAAACACATTTACGTGTATCTCTTCCGGTTGGAAACACAGTTCCAAGTCAAGCCAGCGTAAGTTCAGTAGTGTGGTTCGTGTAGATTTTATGTAATAATAACAATAATTAATACATAGTATGCTATTATTATCATCATATAGATTTGTCAATAGTTATGGGCTAACGTTGTAAGATAGTCGGAAGTAGTAGGCAGCAAAATTTGTCATAATGTCATAATAAACTCACAATCCTGTACCGACATGATGTCATACGAATGGTAATAGGATTGTTCTGACCGTCGTTCTGTCTAGTACTCGTATTTGACTGTTGATTTTTCTGCGTAATACTGAAGTTTCTATTGTAGCATACTTCAAGGTTGCTTCAAGAGGAACTGATATCAATTTGGAAGCCACGATTATTAACATTATTAGTAATAATTATGGAAACGGGGCTGTGTTTATACAACTGTACCTTATTTTTACTGGTAGAAGTTTTAGAGAAACATCTAACGGTACCTTGCTCGGTCTTTCCCGCAGATACCTGTCAAAGCACACGTCACTTCGCCCACATATGCGTATGATTCTTATCGAGTGGCTCGTGTCACTTCAGTCGCGATACAAGCTGTTGCAGGAGACCCTACTTATGACAGTTTCAATATTAGACAGGTTCATGTCTGACACAAGCTTCGAAGTCAGCCGAAGCAAATTCCAGCTAGTTGGTAAGAATCGCAGTCGTATTGCAATTTCGAACACATATTTTATCAGCGGAAGTACATTTGCACTGTATAAATGCGGTTATAATTTGGGTTCAGAAAAACGATTCAATCATTTAATGGCAGTAATTTCCACTGAACGCTATTTTGCATCGTTTGGGTGTACGTTTTTACGAGTTTATCAATAAAATGGTAAATTCATTGCTTAGGGAATACAATCAGCACAAAATAAAAACCTATATGGAAACACGCTTTTAATTTAATAGCAATGGTAATTATTCGCTTGAAGCAAATACTAGCAAGTTTTGTTGAACATGTGATTAGTCTAAAGTATTTGCCCGATTTAAATTCTTAACCCCCGTCGTTTTGTTTCCCCACGCGCGTTGTCATGCTTCAGGTGTTGCTTGCATGTTAGTGGCATGCAAATACGAAGAAATGTACCTCCCATCGGTAGCAGATTTCGCCTATATGTGCGACGGTGCCTACACGACCCGTGATATACTCTGGATGGAACGAATGATACTGAGTACATTGAATTTTGAGCTTGGCAAGCCGCTTACGCAGCACTTCTTACGAAGGTTTTCAAAAGCTGGTGGAGCGGACTCAACGACACACACCATTGCAAAGTACCTTCTGGAGCTGGCTTTGTATGAGTACTCCATGGTACATTGTAAGCCGTCGCTTATTGCGGCGGCAGCTCTTTATGTTGCTGGCTCCGTCACAGAAGTTGTTGAATGGGATAAGACTGTTGAGACGTACAGTGGCTATAAGTTGACTGATCTTGAAGTCGTTGCCACGAAGCTCGCCGAGATCGCTGCTTCAGCCGAAACTAACCGGTATCTCAAAGGAACGTACAAAAAGTACTCGGGCGACAAGTTTCAACGGGTTTCTAGGACTCTAGGTCAAAGCTCCGTTGTGCTTACGATGGGTCGCAAAGCATCAGAGGCTAACGTGTAACGGAAACAGCAAAAGATAAGTCGATCCATAGGGACTCCCGATACAGAATACGCGCCTCCGCGACGTTGTCGCAAACAACAATTGATACATCCCACGAGGATATTTACAAATTAACTCCACCTGCTTTCTGCTATTTGGTATACTATTGGTATAAATCTACTCTGAATTGACTATTCGATGAACAGTGACGGGGAATATATTACAGGACAGGCACCCATGTTGGAATCCTGAAATAGGATGAAAGGGTGGGTGGTATGGCATCAAGATCATCAGCAAATGTACAGGAACGAATTAAAAGCTGCCATCAGTATTAGTCGGGTGATTACAAAAACAAGCATTTTAAAAGGATGAGACAGTGAAGATAGAAATATATCTTACATGATGACCCGCATTTTTGGAGCGTATTAGTTATGTAATTACATTGTATCTTACACAATCTGGTAATTTTAGGTATACATGTCGGTCGTAAAGATTCGTTAGCTACCTTCTCTTGGTTTGGGACGAAGGTGCACGGGTACTCTCCCCAATACATCCGAGTTCTGTATCATGAGGAGACCTCTGTAAATAGGATTAAAATAGGCCGAATAGTCTGAGAAGCTTTTTTAAGTACGGAATTCACATGCACCAAAAACGTAGGTGAAACTAAGGTATACATGCACGTGCATTTTCTGTGTGGAAGACGCCAGTTTTGACGTTACTAATCTGACCTGAACCACCGAAGCCGTCGATTAGCTCTTGATATCAGCTGTTACAGCTAGCGAAGAGGATGCTGTCAGACTCTGAGGAGGGTGGATACACATGTACACTGACCATATTTTATTAGTTGAAGTGTCTGTGGTAAACAGTGTATTAGTATACTGTGTGTTTAGCGTAGAATCACACGTGCACTCCTATTTCCCCGATGTTGTGCAGTTGACATATTCAAAGCCAGGGACTTGGATTCTTACTTAATATACATACATGCGTAAATGCAAATACATGGAATAATTTCGAGCGTCGAGTATTTGTATGTGAAGGGTACAGACATACAAACACGTCGCCTTGCAACTCACGAGATTGTTTCAGGTTATAACGAGTCTAAATTGTCTGGGAAGTCCGCTTGCTGAGGGTAAAAAGTGAATTGAGAATATACAGAAACTGAAAAAAGGCGAGCTTTTATCGTGGTCGACGACAGCGAGGTCAGCTCATTACTGGCCAACGAATGGGCAATTGAACGACGGGCTTTATAAGCTCAGAACGATTCTAACATCAGCAGCTACAATAATAATAAAAATAATAGCAATGCCGCGATTAGCGCGATACCTATCACAATATATGGTACAGATGATGTATAGTGTGGCTATGGGCTACTTATAAAACACGGTCGTTTTGAAGAAAATGGAGTGTGGAGGTTGTATGAGCGCTATGAACTAGACATTGTTAATAATAATCATGTTATTTCGAATAATAAAGCTAATTATGTACAAGTAATGATTACTTTTATAAAGCACTACAAGTGTATTCAGTTTCTTGATGTGGACAAAAAGTACCCTTCAAAAAGGGGTAAAATGCACTCGGATGTACGTATGCAATGTACTTAAATGTGCAGCGAAGCACATAGGTTAGAACCTTCACATCCACACGAATTTAACCCCCATGTTATAGGTAAAACTAATCCTACAAAACCGGGTTTTCCGGTATCTAAATATAAAATCCTGTATCGGACGCGGTTTGATTGTTTTCATATAAATGATATTTACGTATATTTTTTCTAACAGAACTGCTAGTTTTGTCATTTGAATGTTTCTTGTCTTCACAATTTCTCATGACTCAAACGAAGTAATGAGACAATTAGCAAACTAAATTGATGTGATAATGTGCGTTACACAGCGCCTAGTTTGAGTGTATGTCATTATTGCGTTCAATACGGAAGTGCTTTCAATGACAGAATGCCTACATAGTCAAGCTATTTGTCTGAGAACACCCTGACCGGTTGGCAAGGTAACTTGCTATTTATCTCTTTGGTAACTGCACTTCCTCGCGTGATGTTATTTCTACTTTGTAATTGGTTTTATGTTTGTGTGATCTAATCTAATGATTACTGTTAGGGCATTAGTTTTACAGATATAAATTCATAGAATAAACTCAAATCAAAATCTAAGAACAATAAGGGGATAGTGATAAATGACTGCTGAGAGTTTCGGACGTACGAGGTTATATTATTTATATTAGCAAGATGCTCCCCTTATTCGTTTACGTAGTGGACTAGCTTACTTCGCAGAAGGTCTTCATATTGAATTAGTACTGAATACTGTGAACAAGCTACTTAATACGCCATGAACAAACTAGCCGTAGTCCTAGAGTTCATTCTAAAATAAAAATGGTGACATGCTCCATGTGTTTAAACAAACAAGGGACTTCTAGATCTTATCACTGTTGTTGTCCAGAATCAATAAATATATTACTATAGAATAAAAGTACACTACACTATTTCACTTACAGTTCATTTTTCGTAATAATAGCAATGTTGAAGTATATGTACTTCCTGTGGCCGCTAGTTATATAAAAAGATCGATCTTCGTGTAAAATTTGCTTCAAATCTTATGTAACACGGACCTACCTACATCCTTAAAAAGGATGGTATTAGTGGGCCTATAAGCTACGATTTTCGACGCTTTCAGGCAATATAATTCTAAAATTTTATTTTGCAAACTGCTATAAACACCTGACTAAAAAGACACGGAAATTGATCAATCCGGGATTAGATTACATGGCGTTATTTTTCTACTTTGGCCTTCAGTCGTGCACTTAATTGTGATATCGTCGAAAAACCGAAATTAATGGTCACCGCTGATATTTTGTTCCACAACCGCACACAGAAATGCGAATGTTCTACGAAGAATACGGACTCGATGAAGATAGAATGCTATGATAACATATTTCGCCGTGTTTATTTTGATTTTTGCATCTTTTTGTTGATGAAAAATACTAACAAATGTTTTTGACGCTTCTATTAGTTTTATTTTAGTAGACTTTTAACTGTAAAAAAAGCTAAAAGAATTAAATCTTTAATTATTGGAAACTAGGAAAATTTCAGTACATTTTTGCTGTAGGTGAGCTTGAGCCCAGTCAGTTTCGATTCAAGGTTTTGTGGGCACCTTTGTGAGATTATTCGATTTGGCTTGCCATTAACCCAAAAAATTTATTATGATTTTTTTGTCAATCGCCATAAGAGGTTACGCAAGTTTTTCAATGTAATGTTCTTTGACTCGATAATAAAGGATATTTATATAATCAGACCTTAATTAAAATAATATTGTATATCGAAAGCTCGTGTAGGTGCAGATCGGCTAAGTCTCTCTGCTGCATAAATTAAATCATGGAATTGTGTCTACATTTAATCTATTGTTTGGCTGACTCCTCTTTTAATTTCGGAAGCTCCATCGTTTTCTCACATAGGAGCTTTATCGAAAAGCTCCCGTGTGCGCTAATCTTGAATTCGATTTCTAGAAGTTCGTTCGTCGAATAGTAAAATTTGGCAAGAGCTCGCTTTCCGATAAACAAGCTATTTTGTGCCAAATGTTGTATCTGTCTATGCTTAACGTCCTACCAATAGAGATTCTCTATTATCATGAAAAGCTGTCTTTGGAGTTTATCATCGTATCGTAATGTGGTCACCTCGTAATCTCACCAATTGAATTGAGGTTAGCCATAGTGCGATGTTGGTACGGGCATTTCGAGACGCATTTTCCGCTACAATCACACATTTCAAGCGATATATGGGTCGTATTGCTATGAATTTAAAACATGACGCTTGATATGAGGTCCGAAACTGTCTCATACGAATAACCAAGAAAGTCTTTCCGCTGCACAATTCTGTAGAATGTCAACAGTTTATCATTAAATATTTCTAATTGATAAAGAAGCTTAGCGCTAAACTGTAATGTAACACAATGTATCTGTTCGATTTGCAATACAGACAAGCGTCCTGTGTAGCACGCATGATACTTCGGCAAAAAGGTTGAGTTTTCCGAAATGCAGTATCCTATTTAGTGCTACCACAAGAACATGACACAATGACTTACGTGTTAATTTAAGCCACGTAAGAGCATTGGCATAACCAACTCGCTACCTCTAAACTCTTGTTGGTTTAATCATAACGGTTACAATTGTGGCTGCTGCTGATTTCCATTTGAGCGTCTATTTGCGTTAGTTATCGAATCGATCGAAGTTTGGCCACCAAATTTTTGGGCATTGTGTTGTTAGATAATTGTAACAGTGTATGATTATATAGATTTTTCGTGCACCCAAAGGGCTAACATACGTTTTTATTGGACAAACTTGCCCACTAAAGAACTGGCTAGCTAGGCGCAGACTTTATACATGCTAGTTGTAATTGTTTTGTTAGCTGATTGTCTCTTCGCAACAAGAAATGGTTTCTACTGGTTCACCAGTTCCGCCGTCCCCTAGTCCTACGCTATCTAAGCAGTCTTATCAGTCCTTAAGAGACCATGATGAAGAACCCTATGAAGGCTTGGCAACGTCTAAGGGAAAGCTGGTTAGCTTGTCTGTGTTTACCATACAACTTGTAAGTTTTACGCTTTATAATTTGGGTACAATAAAACGCACCATATCTCAGTTTTGTTCTTAAAAGGCAGGCGCACCTACATTTAGTTGGCTTAGATAGATTCTGCCATATGGATAGACTGAACAACTGTACGGCCGCTGTTTTCTAATGTTGGATTTTTTTCCAATTTCGATCATTGTACTGCTTAACTTCCGGTAAGTAAAGATTTTTAAGATGCACATAGTCCGCATATAGAGTATTTTTAAATTTATGTTTGGAGACTTCGAAAGCACGAATATTGTTTTTGAGGCAAACAACGTTGATACATATATAGCATTCTGTGACAAATTCTTTTTATGAAGAACTAGAAAGGCTGAGTAGGGTTAAAGAATCAGAATACCCAAAAAAGCAATCAGAATACCCAAAAAAGTTTCCAACATGCATAGTAATCCGTAAATTTACCGAAATGTTTGTATGACCGGTGAAAAAGGTTCTCGCAGTGGTCATCTTAGTGTTTTATGGAGCTTCGGCAGCTATGAGGGATGTAAGTGAAGCAGGCTTAATTTGCATCGCCATGACCGCTTGCACAGCGGTGGTACTGGTTACACCTGTCATTAACCAGGTTGCTTGGAAAACCGCGGATAACAACACCGATGGTTATAGCGCCAGGCCGGAACAAGCTATAATTTCTGCCGAGGTAAGTACAGGCGCCCCATTCTATCTATAACATCATTTGTAACAATTTGTGCTCATCTCTTCTGTCAAGGTCAGTTTAACCAAAATCAAAAATGCGTCTGCTGAATTTCCGTTAAATTATAACAGAATTGCAAGCTATCAAGCTGAGCTATATCTTTTGAATTCATTCGAGATCATTCTTTGTATGGTAACAATTTTTTAGCGATTTTTTTAACAATTTTTGTTAGCAAAATGCGAGAATTATTATAGGACTCAATGATTTTGGCTTAATAAATAGAATTTTTTGGTATATTAAGACGAAATAAATATACCAAAAACACTGATAACTTGTCGCATGCATCTTTTAACAATTTTTGTTTTGTCTATAGCGAAAGTTTCAGCACTTGATAGTTGCTATACTATACGGACTATCGATATCGCTCCTGTTGCTGATTGGTTCAAATCAACATAAAGCTCTCAACATTACCTGCGTGGTATGAAACAAAGACAAAACATTTTTCCTTTTTTAGAGAAAATTAAATCAAAGTGTTTGTGAATACTCAGCTTTTGTTTGTCGTACTTTTAGTAGAAGCCGATGTAAAGTAACATCAAGTTAAAGAAGATCAAATATTATGTGTAACATTTATGTATAGCCGCATTGCGGATATGCAAAAGAATAGCGTTTCAGATTTCATAAATGAGGTTCCTTAGCGTATACATAAAACGGAATATTATTACGGTGACGTACAGGCAAGCTCAAAAAATATGAAATATTTTTTGAGCTTGCCTGGAATAACAAAAAGAGATTTTCAAATTAAATTAAAAGGACTCATGTCCTTACCGTACTTTCTCCTGTCCAGTTAAGGGAACTGTTTAGTTCAGTAATTACTTCCTTCTATAATTTTCTAATTAATTAGTTCTAGTTCTGCTACGTTCGTTAATAAGCTTTATAATTTATTTTTATCGTATTTTCAGGTTCTGGGTTCGATGACCTGTGTATCGCATCTGCTTTACTCGATCACTCTCTTCGTCCTACATACATAAGACATTTGTATAACTAGAGCGCTCAAATCCAGATATTTGAAGCACAGAATTCACTCGCGTACGAATCTCAGCCGGATAGTCCATCCATAATGACTATATGACAGTAAACAGTCTCATAGGGCTAACATTAATACAAATATATTCTTTTATTTTTTTTAATATTTCCTAAAATTTGCGCTGTATTTCGTCTTTTATAAAAGATAATAGAGGGCAGTTGTTAGTTGAGAAACTAAGCTATTTAGATATAAATTACATCTCATGGCGATTTTATTTTGAATCCCATTCTCTTCAACTGATTAAGATAACTTAAAAGCATACCTTTATAGGCATGCAGTTAGTCTTGTATAGCGCAATACTCGGTAAGATGATACTGACTAGTTTGATCACATATGATTTTTTAATCGTAAACTTAGTCGTAAAAATAACCAGCATTTATTTTGGTGGGTAAGTTCTCGCGTGTTTACTTTATTGCTCTCCTTTCAATTTCTAATATGTTTACCTATAACTATAGCTCTATTAGAAAACAATAGACGTCTGCTTGTTCTATGTTGTTATTGCATTTCCGTTCCTTTGTTTCCGCAACTATATATATACATTACACTGAGAAAATATGTTTAGAACTTTATTGAGTCACAATTTTTCATTTTTCATTTGAAACTCTAAGTAAGCTACCCGCTATTCGGTTAGTAGTTTATCACTAGTAGGCAATAAATACATATATATTTGTTAACGCTGCAAAAATGGCTATTTATCTTCAGCATAAACAATTCATAGGTTATATAGTTAATGATTTATACAGTGCAGGTAATATGTGCACATGACCTTTGTCCTATAGTATGCCCATGGTAAAAGTATGCAGAAGAATACATTAGACGTACGCTTTTAGATGAATATATATTTATGTATATACAATGCACACCTGTTTTTGGCATTTCATATTTTGTTTTTAGCTACATTGGTTAACAATGTTAGGCCTGATCTAAGCAAGCGCGTCAATGTAGCCGATTTCGTGTCCTTCAAAGTTAGATTCATCTTCGCGAAAGAAATTTGACTTTGTCGACGCCCCAAGCTGCTCATAGATCAGATCCAAAGTGTCCTGCAGCACGACTTGTTTAAGAACTGTCACCGCGTTTGAGAAATGCTGAATGTAAGATGCGTTCCGAAGTGTCTTCGTGAATAACACCTTGTGTTTCTAAAATATTCTTATTGTTGTTACTAATCCTATATTGTTAATATGATTAATACAGAGTTACTTTATGATACCAGTGAACAGCTTACAAGATTGGGTAATCTATAACGCGAGGTAAACGATGTCCAATCTGACTGAGCCTTTTGCCTTAAATAAGCTTACTTCTTTTTCAATGTATGAAAAAAGAAAAACAGCCAAATCTGATAATGATATATGCATCAGTTTTAACTGACGTATTTTTGTTCCCCGATATATATTTAATCTCTCTATAAAGTGCAAGTGCCACATGCTTTAAAAAAGCAAAGATGTGCAGCAGATACCTAATGATTCTCTTTTCCATCCCCGCAAAACTCCCAAATGAAATAATCGTCAACAATAGAAATCTATTTAATCGAGAAGAACTCACCCTTTTAAAGTGTATCTGTTTCTTTTCAGTATCAGGTTCAAATGATATCTCGCTGTCATAGACAAGAATGTCGCTTTCCATGACCCAGATAACTAAAACATCTGGTGATGATTCCTGCTCATTAAAGAACGACACAAAGCTACTATTAGCACCGCCATATTGAAGGCATTGACAACATAACAATTAATGCATTAGACACATAAGCTAGCTCTGAGCAAAGCAAAGCATTGCTTGCGAGAATAATCTTGTTACCCATCTAGCGAAAATAGATCAAAAATGAATCATTGAGAGCTAGAATAGAGAAAAAGTTCGTACGTTTAATACAGTATAAAAAACAACAACAACACTTACCGACATCAGAAAAAGGCGGACTTGAAATTTGTACGCAATGAGCTGACGAAGCAGCCGAGCTATAAGCTGCTGGTAACTAAGTTTTGCTATCACTTCCTGATTTTCACAATTTTCAAGCAGCACACGAACCCGGTAGAATGATACGCGCCTTGAATTGCTTTTTACAGGTTGACTTCGCGGATACGTTGTTACACCCACAATTATCTTACATTCGGGACAGAGAATACTGTCGCCTAGTATTTGTTTCTGTTAATGATAAGTTAAACCGAATCAATTACAACTATTTTTCCTAATAATAGTAAAACATAATTTGATTGACTAGTAAATATGAACCATGCTAGAGTTAGTACCCCGGTACGCAAACATCAAATACGTATGCGTCCTTCCAAATAGCCATTAACATCGGGATGAATTCGTTATATCATGATATACTTACTTAGCCGCCCATGTACATCGCTAAATACAATGTTGGAATTTTATCATTATCCAATATTATCATTTTTGGACTTGGTTGGTTTGATTCAATAGGTGCCGTAAATGTTTTGTGGCTCTCTGACTGGTTTTCATTAAAAAATGAAGGCAAAAAAACATGACACATTGTATATTTAAAATGTGATACATATTCTTCAAAATTGCTTACCGCGACATCGTCTGACAAAATCTCTTCGTCGACGACAAACTTGTTGACCGTGAAGAACAGCTCGCTAGCATCTAGTGTTATTGGCTTTTGCTTTACGTTTGCCAGTCGTTCATTTTCGCGTGACACGTATGTGAAGTACTCATGCAACATGTTAGGGTAATACCAATAAGTAAAGCCTATCTACAATAAGGGTCAATATAAAAATTGATTGCACGTGCTTATTTGTATACAAAGAGCCTGCTCATCTTACATTACTTCCAGAGTACGTGGTGTACATAAAAATATAAGTGTTACCACAATACTATAACGAATTCGGACTTTATGTATTTCAAAACAACAGAAGAAAGGTACTTACTGATGACAAATCTCTAATATATCTGCAATGACATTTCCAATTGCTTTTGTTTGTAGTATGTAAGCATGGCTTGAAGGATGGATTAAATAAAATATCGTCAATAGGATTGCATTCGAGTTTGCAGTAGAGATTGTTACCTCAGAAATATCAGGTAGCGATACTTGTAGGTGTCCGTCCTCTTGTTTAATTCGCACCGTTTGCTTTAATATGCTACCTGTGTTTACAACCAGATCAACGTCTTTGACGTTCTCGTTAGGATATTTGGCGATACTTGCTTCCTCCTCTTCTCCTTGCGTAGCATTGCTTGTTGAGACAATGTTCTTTACGAAGCGTTTTTTTAAGGTGACACTCGATAACTGTAGTGCCGAATAGCTGTTGGAAACATGGTAATGATTTATATATGAATACCAGCGCATACTTGCTTCGCCTACCTAGTATTCGAATAGTAAGTAACCAGGCTTGGTTGCAGCTTCTTCAATCAGAAAAAGAAGCTTAGCTTTTCGTGCTCAAAAAATGCATAAAAAAATAATAAAAGCACGATATGTTCGTCCAAAGTAACATGTTGGTTAGAACGAACAAAAGAATTGGCTCCGTGTTGCGTTTGTTTAATTTGTGCTGATGAATGTTTTAGTCCTATGCGAGAAAAAAAACAGCTAACTATCACCATTATGAATCGACTTCATTTGCAGCTACTTTTGACACTTCGAACTCGTTAGATGCAGTGCCTCTTTATAAGACCTCTATGCAAATTACACCCCGACGATATCACGACATTCATACGTTGGAGGAACAAACATAGACGCATCTGTAAGGGATAGAATAAAGGGCGCTAACCGAGTAACGGATTACCTCATGAAAATTTTGAAAACACAGTACGATGAGCATTTTCTATGAGTAGCTATATATACGTCGCCGCAGAGACGCCCTCTTTTCTAGGCAACTCTTAGGGCCCTTTATTCCGCGCTTATAAAGACCGTCAGAACCACCACAGTTCAGTAAGCGCGACATGCTATTTTTTTCGGTTACCAGCAATAACGAGAACTGCGCAAAAAAACTATTTCGAACCCTATGCGCATTGCCAATGAATTGAATAATACAGTTCAGCATATAGATTTCTTCTTTTCCGTGCTCCGCTGCTCGACAATCTTTACATAAACACACAACAAAGCTTGATTCGTGTACTACTATATTATAGTGCTATATTATGATTATCGCAGTTACTCTGTTTGTAGTCATTGTAGTTTTCTTATCATCCATAAATATGAAAAGTATATGTTCCTTAGGACCCTAGCAAACGTAATAAAAAGGTGAAATAAATGCATTTTATTTGCCGATACGCGGGGATAAGAACACTTAAAAACAGATACATCATAAGAATAAAGTAGCTTAGATAAACTACCTTGCGAACTATTCGCCGTGAGTCTCTTTACTTCTAACAAAACATATGCTTTTAAACTTACAAGTTCTTAAGAAGAGAGCATACGACTTTCAGCGCTGTAAAAAACGCTAGAATAATATAACACAAATAACAAAAAGCTTGCTCATAGCACAAATACTCTTGAAAGTACCAAAAATTGATTCAGCCATACACACCTTGGCTTAATTGATATCGTCTTGGAGTACGGATCTTCAATACAGGTTCGTTTTTCTTCTTTTGGTTCTTCTTCGTGTCGACTAGAAGTACTTGCTCTCTTGTCATTGCTAAATAAAATTGAGAAATAGTTCTCTAATAATACGGTGTGGCAAAATGTTTTGCGTGCAAAATTTTTATAATACGAACTATAATATGAGACTCGTATCCAAAATCCGCCAGTGAGAATATCTGGTTGACTTTAATATTTTGGTAATTATATCTTGACTAGTAATAAGTTAAACAAAATCAACATTTGACTGAAAAAGAAAGGTTTCACAAATAATTTACAAATATAAGTAAACGCGATAAACATTTGCCTCAACACTGTCTCAACTGGTCCCAAAGGTAAATTGCCGGTGTCTTGGCTATTATCTTTCGTGCATACTGTTCTTGTAGCTGCAACAGTCACAACTGTCTGCACGATTCGAAGGGCAGCTACTGCCTTTGCAGCATCTCGCTCCGCATAAGCGGCTTCCTCTGCATTGGCCGCTTCTTCCAGAGCTCTAAAATGTATAGGAAGAGTCGATGAAAATAGCAGACAAAATGCTAAATAAGGCATTAAATAACCAGCGTCACGATTGCTAAATTCGACGCTAATCGTTTTATGTTAATGCGTCACTAATAGATTAAAAAAAGGGATAAAACTGATTTTGTCGAACTCGCGAATCTACCCAATAAAGACATTTGGATATAATTGAACTGTGTAACACTTCTATAACGGTTAAAGCATTTGCTTGACAGCATTTTGAATCCATTTATAATACTACGATGTTGCAGAAACAATATTTGACTTGTTGTTTGTATGGTAATGTTTTTGTACTGCTTTAGCTAGGTCTATATAATACTACATCGCAAAAACTAAAGTATATTACATTCATGCGTAATTCTAGACACCTACACTCGATAATTAGGTGTTGTTGTCCCGCTATTCTCATGTGGTTGTCTGAAACAGAAAGTTATATATCGATCATAATGAGTTTCAGGTTAATTGCTCTAACAAAAATTAGAAACTGCGTTTGTCGGAAATTCGTCGTTAGAGTTAAGTGCTAGCTGTGTTTAACGGCTAAATCTTCGTTATATCAATCAGAATGCCATTACAGTCCATCGTCGCCATCCTGGTTTCACTTTTTAAACAGCTATTTAGGCAAAAGCTTACCCTTGACAGTTACGTCCATTTTCGTGCACTGGGTGACAAAAAAAATCATTTTCCGACGGACACAGTCCACTGTTGGGACAGGGCAGTATTCTTCTAAATAAAACGGGTTTCTTTAACATAGACGATAAGCATGCCTCACAACGTATGTCGTGAAACCTGTTGGAAGCCTGTTCAAATTCACCTATAATATTAATAAAGAATGTTCGATAATTTACTTAATTTGTATGTTTAATCGTACCCTATGGTAATCATACGGTGTTTACATGAAAAATTTATCTAGCTATCAGAGATTCATAAGATTCAGTGCTTTCTTTAACCTTAAAATCCTTAAAGCCTCTCGGAGCAACTAAAATGAGTTTGAATGCTCTTGCCGTAATCTTTTAGGTCATCAGTGACTCTATGAGTTTTATGCCACTAGATTCGTCAGCTGAAACGTGTACGGTAAATAATCACACTATATTAATATTCTTTCAAAAAAGTTCGTTTGTCCGATTTTGGGCTACATTAAGCATCACTTATAGTACATGGAAAATAAGCATATCTTTATATATAATCTTTATATATTGGAAGGTATCACACCTGTATATGAAACTTTGCTTTGTCACTGATCAGTATTATATATTTCACGTTCCGTCTCACCTCTGAAAACGCTAGGCACCGGAGTATCGGGTGGGTTGATCATTCTGCATTTTATGAATGTTAATCCTGACGAAGTACTGTAAATTGACGAAAGGGTTCCATCCTCTAACGTGGTCCACGTATGATCCGTATCAAACTTACTAAGTCCACGCAGGTCAAGTTGAAAGAACGCTGGAAGAAAAACAAGACAGTAGTCTAATACGTTATTCAACAAACGTTTGGAAAACTATCAAGAAAATGTATTACAAAAGCTCACAAAGACACTCATTTAGTTAAATTTTGTTCATTAATCTAAATTACTATAAGATTAGAAATTAAAACTGCTTGATTAATGGGGCTAACCCCGGTGATTCATTTTCTATGATATTCGCGGCTTAATAGCGGCCTTGGTCAAATTGTATGCATAACCATGAACCCTCCGACAAATTGTCGAACAGACGGACATCACGAGAGACAGTACATATATTATATAGCACACATGTTAATTAGTTTTTAAGGTTTTCATGTGAACAGTTTTCAGCATATACTATATGCTGTATGTATGTAAATGAAAGAAGAAAGTTCCTACTAACGTGGCATTTGAAAGCAGATACTCTCCTCTTTATAGGGAAAGTAAAATTCAATTTGCTTTGGTTGGAGACGAACTTCGATGTCAATACATGTAATATTTGAGCGTACTGAAAATGTGCAGATGTTATGCCGAGGACGAAACTCCATAAGAAATATTCCATTTAACTTGCACTGACTTGCGGTTGCAGTTTCCTGTAAATTAGATATAATTTGAAAACAAAGCGCGCCACTCTATAATTAAAATGCACGATACAGCTATTTAATAATGGAAATGCTAAATCCTTTTTGAGGATACAACCTGTGATATAGGTTTTCTAGATAGAAAAACTAGTAGGACATCCTCAATTATCAGCCGTGAATTGCAGTATTACATTGTTTACTGCACACTACCTAACTGTTACATTTTCATTAAGTATTTGTGGTATTAAATTTTTTTATGGTATATTGCTCATTTTTTACGAAACGTCTCAAAAAGTCAAAATAGCAAATACGGTAACTTACTGGTAGAACGGAATTCAAAAGTGGTTGTTGTAACGGTGACGTCGAATACATTTTTGGTTCGCGAAAAAATTGCGGGCATTCATTGGGTAAGCTATACACCTGAAATGCTGTACAAATAAAGCGCTACATATAATCCATCTCGCCTAATTTTGAAGTTGAAAATTACAGACAAATCTTGTATAAACTGTAAATAAATTCTATTTTATATTTAGCTCCTCTTAATAGTCACATCTACGAGGAAATTTAGACTCCATCTATCACATATAGCTACTTCATAGGTGGATTCCAAAATTTAATACTGACAGCTTTAGTAGAACTCGAGATTTGTCAAAACAGGAAGGTTTCAGGGTAATTTTTGTTCACTAGCATGGCTGTAGTTACTAGTACAACCGTTTTGTGATCATTAATCCATGAAGCGAAACCCTCCAAACAAATGTATTAATTTACCAACGAATTCCAAAACTCCTTAGAATGAGCTCAAAATAAGCGATGAATCATTTGATAAAAATTCATATGCCCTACCCGACATACACAATCTGACCAAATGTATTTTGCACAGTGAGGTTAGTTGTAAATATGCTAGTTCAATTAGTTTAAATATTAGTAAAAAAAAGGAACAACGAGGAACATTGTGTTCGGAATTAAATAGTCTAGATTGTCTGCTTTTCGTGTGTACAAACTATGCTAGTTAAAAGAATTTCAGTATAAAATTTCCTTAACTACATACAGAGTTCGTTGGTGAATGTGGGATAAAGGTATTATACTAACTGAAAATTAATTTTGATCTATTAAGTTTGCTTGGTATCTTGAGAATTTTGGTAATGCATTTACTATGCATGTTCACTCAACATAAGAATTATAATTTTAGAAAAATGAATCGGACGGAAACACCAGACCCAGAGGCCGGTTGTGCTGGTGTTTTAATACGTTCATATACTCCCAGTGGCTTTTTATTCAGCGAGATGAGAATGAAGGTCAGACTTACTTGTAAACAATGAAACAATAGTAAATCGATTGGAGTTGTTTGCTATCGTTAAACGATTTACAATAATCATAAAAATCGTAAATAAGAATTTCTTATTCGTTCGTTTCATATTAAGTTCCTGGACCTTGTTATCGCGTCGAACAAAAGTCACATGTACGAAAAACTGGATTGCAACTATCAACATTACCCATATCTTTAAAGAGGTTACCATATATTAGTGATAAATTTTTAGTATTTAGTAAAATTGAATTCAGCATACATCTAAACACAAACCACCATAGAGCACAAAACGTATATATGGTAAACCATGATGGGTACTGTAATTCGCGCGCCTTAAACCAAGGTCTGATTTGATCATCTGTAATACGACCTTTAGCTTACCTAGTCGTCTTAAAAATATTTTCGGGACTTTAAATAAACGACAGATTTATTTGCATCGACATAAAAGAAGCTGTGCATAGCTTTACGTCCAATTTAAAATGAAACACACTGATTTCCGGCGTTTTCTAGCAACACTTCAGCCAAAGCTCATAGAACTCATGTCACATCGCTAAAACGCGTGGGAAAGAGAAGATAACAGGCGCTCGCGCGAATTTTTGAAACACTCGTGTATTATCTTCTCGACAACATTTTGTTAAAATTAATCTTTCCAGTTCAAAAGAAATCTTCTCTAATATCTCTAAAAGTACGGCCGCGAAATCGTACAATTCATACCTAGTTTCTGTTAATATAACACGTTCGTGTCTGTCATCTGGGGTCTTTACTAGACACTAAGTCTACATGGACGACTTGGTATTGGGCTTGTTCGAACCGTGGTGGTACTATTTGTGGTTCGTGGTTCGTTTTCCTGATGAGTTGTCTCGTTGGGGCGCTCTATAGATGGCGAGTATGGCCAATGGCAGTGAACAGGCCAGGCGTTCGGAACCTGTTTAGCGCTAGTCCGTTTGCATACAGTTTTAAGAGCAGTGTTAGTTGTTTGTAATTGGTTACCTGGCAAAAAAACTTCTGACTGTGTAGGTGTAACTAGTGGGCTGTAGGGCAGGAGTAGTTGTCTCAGTAAGGAACTAAGCGACCAGGGTGCAAAGGCTGCAGCATCTGTGTAGACAGATACGAATCCAGCATTCGGCCGTAGCTATACCACCACTTCGCATATGCTAAGGGAGATAGCAGTAGCAGCTGTGGATAAGTCGCTCTTAGTCAATAGTGAAAGGGAACGAAGAAGATTCAAATTGCATTTCGTGCTGTTCCACTCTCAGATCAACTGTTATGACTCCTATTGCTGCCTTTGTATAAACGGAAACCTACTGGCAGATCTGTTCCCCTACTACCTACAACTGTCGCAACTGAATGGCGGAATAGTGTGGGCATAAGTTACCGTCGTTCCGCTACGTGTACGTGAATGGATGTATTCGGACTGAATCTTCGTTTTTGTTTTTTCAATATCGACCAGAGTATATATATGACTCTGGCATGAATGCATGACTATATTAGAAAAATAGTTCTTTTCTTGCTGAAATCGTTTTATCTTCTTGGGTGGTTCTTGTCTAAACGAACAACATTGACACGGGCTGGAGTTGATCTGACGGGTGCAGCAGCCTTTACCCAACGAAGCATGGTTGCAACTGTCTATACGACAAGCCATCAGTGAAGGGAAATGGCCACGGTGTCAGCTCCCGTTCGAATTTCCGTCTTCAGCCATCGTGAGGAGAGATAGCTGATTCCGGATCGTCACGAAACGAACCTACGTTGATTACTACGCGAGGTACGTTAAAACATAATGAAAAATTAGGCGATAGCCACATTGCTGCTGCTGTTCTAAAGACGTTTTTACAATGCTAGCCGCAGCGTCTAGATGCTTCCTAGGTAATTCAGTGTACCCAACCAGGATCCAGTTTTTTTTCATTTCAGTGAACAAGTTCGTGGAGCACTGATAGCGTCTTTTTACTATATTGGAAAATATGCGTGACTATTAACGTAACAACAGCACCGGAGGACGAATACATATGGAATAATCGTGTGTCCGACGTGAACAGCTGTACGCACAAGTGCCACTATGAACTATCCATCCGCCTGTAAAGCTACTGCAGAACTTCGATCCATGAGATATTACCATTCCGTTAATAGCCAATGGGATTAAACGTCTCGATGGCCATCCTTTACCACACAAACTGTGATGTTCAGATTTGGTGATAGATTCGTTTATCAAATTGCGATACGAATAACCAACTATCTGCTGCCAGAGTTTGTGTCTGCATCTATGTGCAAATATCGTTATTGCATGTGCATGTAAACCGAGGTTGTATACACTGACAAATTAGACGTAGACAATAGCAGAAGTGGTAGTAGCAGCAGTACGAGATGCTACAAGCGTCGCAATGAGGCAGAGCCGGCTGGTTTTTCACTTGGAGTAATGGTCAAGGCCAGCTTAAACAAACAAGGAAAGAAAGCGCCTGTAGTTTATAGGTCCAGTAGTATTGATTGCCAACGAAACGAACCATATGCCCATGTTTATACACTAGTAAATTGTGAACATTAGAAGCTACGGATTTGTAATGGCCTATTTTTTTTGAATCGAATACAGTAATAGTCGTTGCCCGTTCCGCATATAAGCTCCACTTGTGACATGCCACTCAGCGAATCTGACGGCTTTGCGTAGTTATTAACAATGATACTGCTAGGTTTAAATAGTTATCTCAATATTGTATTTATCTGCGACTAAAATATTTTCAGATATAATCACCACACGGGTATGACAAATGTTATAACAATATTGATATTGTTATAACATTTGTCATACCCATGTGCTGATTATTTTAATATATATATATATATATATTTCGGCCGATCAACAATAAACTAGCTGAAGGATTTTTCATACGCAAGACAACATTTTTATACCGTAACGAAAGTTTATTAATAAACATATATATATATATATATATATATATATATATATATATGTTTATTAATAAACTTTCGTTACGGTATAAAAATGTTGTCTTGCGTATGAAAAATCCTTCA